CTGTTTCTGCACAGTTGGTGATTGAAGTTTAAGTGGCCGCCTGCCCGTTAGATCAATATTGGTGAAAGCATGCATATTTGAGTGTGCATTTGGATCTGGGGGTGGGGGGTGTAATGCGTATTCGTGTGTGTGTTTGGTGGTTGAATGTATGCGTGCAACATCAAGGATATGTGTTCGTGACAGTGACCCACTTCTGGTGTTTTCGGCGAGCCAGATGGGTCACGGCAGCTGGAGCTGAAGAGGCGGAGGTGGAAGAGGGAAAAGAGCAGGATGATGAGGAGGAGAGGGAGGGAAAAGGCACATGTTGAGAGGAGGAGGGGGAGCTGCCGCAGGGGCTACGGCGAGAAGACAAAGAGGAGGAAATGGGAAGCTGTAAGGAAATTGAACATTAGGGAAACAATTAGGAAGGACTCGATGAGAAGGGGTGTTGTGAACTTGTTTGTTGTTGTGAGAAAATTGGAGATTTTTGTATGCTTTGTCTCCCTAACAGTTTCTCTCTACCTTTAGTAAATAAAGCAATAATTGCAGATCTTTCAACACATGCAGACCCTGAGAATCACTGCATAAATTAATTATGTTTCTCATTCTATCAGAAAGCCAACCATCCATGCCCCTTCACCCCTTTCTACTTTACTCCTCTCCTCCTTCTAAATGTTTTAGGCCAGAAATAATAGCCCTTCATGTTTAACTCATGAAGCAGAAATACACTGAGGAAACAGCGCTGACTGTCAATGGTTTCCAAGCACAAATACCATCACAAAGAATAGGCTGTGTACTGGTTAGGTATTGGTTATATCAATGATTTACTGGTTTTATTTAAACACAAGCAATCAGGTACATTTGTTTGACAATTTTCCTTGTACCTACATTTTTTTTGATTCCTTCATGTTTTTAACATTTTTTTTTGCCTTGGTAGAACTTTAACTAACTTTTACTCTCCCTTTGTTTGTCCTCATAACTATCTTACTTACAAAAAGAGCTTTTCCACCACATGTTACTTCTCCAACACACATGATTTTTTCCCCTCTTTTGTCTAGAAACCAAGAGCACATCTGTGCTGTAAACACCAGAATCCCCCAAGCTCCAGTTCCAAATATTCCTCACTCTTTCACGCATTTATCCTCTCTTATATTCACATGAATTCATAGCATAGAGACCATGTTGTGGCAACACAGCCCTATGTTGACCTAATGAGAACTGTGATACACAAAGATACTTACTTGTCTTTTTGTCCGTCTTCTTTCTTCCTGTTCAGTTGAAATATTTCTTATTTTAAAAACCTGTAATGACATGTATTATAGGAAAGATAATATCTGCACTTTATTACTGCGTTTTAAGTTATTTTTGTTTTTTGAGACCTTCTTGAAATTATTATAAAATAGCCCTTAACCTTATTGTATAACAGAAAAAAGGTAGTTGGTCACCTTTAAGATTGAACCTGGGTAGGTGGGACTGTGCTGTCCAGGGAAGTTGCTTTACCTTCTAGGGCCCCATCCACACAGAGACATGATTATTTGTATTTACAAAGGTGTTTCTGTTTAAGCTGTGCTTCCAGATAGATGAATACATGAACCTTCTCTACATGACATGCCCCCTGACAACTCGAATATGTCACCTTTAACACACATAAATGTTTATTTGTCTTATTCCCTGTGAAGTTGCAGTATTTACATAACATGTGTTGCCTGATGCTTTTTTGAAATATGCTAATACACTGGGCATACACTGTGCAATTTTTTTCAATCGTTGCATGCAGCTACAACTCACGTTTTCGTCAGACAGTGTGAATTCAAAGCTCACGATGTACGTTCTCACATTGTGCGACCCAACGCTGATGTGATCTACCTGATCACACTGTATGTCTAAAAACCACATCGGACTCAGCTCTGCAGTGAGATTGTGCTACTTGGACTTGCCTATCTGGAAGCCAAACGAGTAGAAGAGGAATATGAAGCTCATTAGAGTGAAACACGCTGCCTTGGCAATTTGTGCAATTTGTGCTAAAATCCCTAAAAAGAAAAAGGCTATGACGTATTTGAAAAAAAGACATTGCTGAGCAAACCTGGCTACTGCGGTCTGTCAATTTAACTCGCACCCCCACCTTGCTTTTGTGTTTTCATCTGAGAGGAAGAAGAAGAATCCTTGTGTGCGCATGCCCACTGAGCGATTTGCACACAATGGCATACTGAATTTAAAACATGTTTGATTTTCTCCCGACCTCACGATTCCTGATCTAGAGGTGGTAGTGAGAGGCTGATCTCCCTTCGTTACCCCCCTGTACACTACACGGTACATGATGCACGATCAAGCTGAAAGTCGGCCCGATCGAAAAATTCTCAGACGACTGGAAAGTCGTCCTGAAAAGGGCTACAAATCGTACAGTGTATGCCCAGCTTAACTGCACACAATACATTTTGCTTTAGATCCTATTTTAAGAGACTTATATGGGAATTTGATGGCTGGCAAGAAATTATATGAATTGGTGTTTTATATTTGTAGTCATAACAGGAGTGAGAGGAGAAAAATAATCAAAGTTTGATCCCTGGTCCACTGGCAGTACGTCTTGTAGATGCAGCTTCTTAATATGAAATATGGGCAAAGTAAAGCTCTGATACGAGGATTAGAAGGTCTTTTTGCGCTGTAGTTAATGATGAGAATAGGAGGATTGAGATGATTGACATCTTGATTTATTGTGATGGTATCCCCTTTAAAATATTTAACAATAATAATGACATCATATGAGCTTCAATGCTGTGCAACCACATGCTGTAGTTTAATTTGAAGGATATAACACTTAAAAACTGGACATTCCCTAAATGATAACATCTGCGGTTCTTCTTCATGTCGTTTTGTCAGCCATGGTTGGTGGAAGACAGACTGCTGCTCTCTTAGACAAGCGACAGACATAATGGGCCTTATTTCCTGATATAGATTGGCAAGTTGCTAACAGAGACAGTGGAAGCATTTCAACGTGTGATGGGGGAAGTTAATGTGATGGGTGCAGAGATGGAACAATGCCTCATGTTGTGTCACCTGTCACTCACTTCTCCAGACTAAATGATTTCTGGTTCTGTGTTTGTTCCATCTCCATTGGCTTCAAATCTTTCCATCCTTTATTTAACCAAAGTATAGAATATACATGACAGTCAAAGGTAGGCGCATTTAGTCTCACATGTTATTTGGAGGCATTCTCATTAAAAAATAATCGTTCTGTATACTTTGAAGAACAATGTATAAACCAGTTTTTTATTTTATTTTCATCGTTAAAAGTTTGCTGACAAAATGTTAAAAGTAAGACCTTTGAAAAAATGATGATCATCTCAGCTTTGTTTGTTAGTTTATTTCACTGTGTTTACATCATGTAGATGCCTGCATGGAAGGTTCTGACATGGAAGCTGTCGGTACGTCAAGCACACATCAGCTGTCTCTGCGCCTTGTACTGTATCAACCTGAAGATGAAAGCTGGAGGGAAAGGATCTGTTCCTTGAAATCCAGATAGAAGTGACAGGTCCTTGGAGGGAGTACATTGACACGCACAGAGAATGATAAATCTTTTGGGAAACAACAGACGGGGCGACGACAATATGTGAAGTGGGGATTAGAGGATTTACTTTTCTGTGTTTTGAACTGCTGACAGTAAGATATTGTTTTGACAACAACATCTGGAATAGATTTAAACAATCAATACTGGTACCTGCAATTTTCTGTGAAAACAAAAAATATATATATAGATATATATTTATATATAGTCATAGTATATATGTTTACGAATATTTTAGTTTAAGCTCAGTGTTTTATTCACTTGGAAAACAGACCAAAAAAAATCAAGGACTTTAAAGTGTAATTGAAAAAAAAAAAGCTTATTTAAGAATTAAAATAGTATCTATTCTCTCTCCAAGGGTCTTGTTAGGTTTGAAATGTACTGGGATTTTGTGTTTGGAGAAAATCCTCTTGAGTTTTTCAGAGACTCCAGCAACGTATGGGATGGAGATGTTTTTGCATAACATCCACCTTGTTTTTGGAAATTCTCGCAGATTTTGGATCCCAAATGGAAAAGCAAATAACTTAGGAACTGTAAGCCCAAATTACAGTTTCTGAATATATAAGTGAAAATTGGGTGAGTAAAACACAGTCCAAGCTGCATCAGTTCAAACATGACTCATAGTTTTTTTTATCCTCGAAAATAATAGGTCTTTTTTGAACAGCAGTAATAAAGAAATGCTTGCTTGTTGTGGCTTCTTTGTCATGTTTACATTTTCACATGCTGCTATATCTGTATTAATTGTGCTTTGGTGCTCGGTGTGCCCAGTTTATCCACAGGTTTGAAGAGCATCTTTGATGTGTTTCTGTTCCTTGTGCTTCCCCTTGTTTTAGTAGGGACATGCTGTAAGGTTCTGATGACTGAAAGATTGTGTTCCAATGGGTGGTGTGAGTCAAAAAGAAGATATTGGTCTGTGTGAGTGGATTTCCTATACACTTTAATGTTGAGGTTTCCATCTCACCAACAGACATTGTTATATACTCTGCTCCTATTAGTTACACCTCTCTGGTTCCAGGTTGCACCCCCTTGGGCTTCAGAACTGTCTGGATTCTTCACATATTAACCAACCTGTTGGAAATCTTCTTGTAAGCTTTTGCTCTATGTGGACATTATAGTTGCCAGCAATCTCTATGGTATAAATCTTAGTTCTGCCACATAATTAAGCTGGTTACTATGGGAGAAATTAGAGTTTAGAAAAAGACTTTCATATAACCTAAAGCCAGTTTCAAATAATCAAAGCATTTTGATATGGTGCATTATCCTGCTGGAAGTGGCTATCAGAAGATGTTTTCACTTCTAAGCCAAAATGTTGGTCTTTTCTGTCTATTCAACATCAACAAAAAAATATCAGTGTTATGTATTTACTTGTAAGGTATCCACAGTACATCTTCAGAGTTATGCATATTATTTAAGATATCCTAAAAAAGATATCTAAGAAGTTGTATTTTTTTCTCCCCAGATGGAGCGCAGAGAGACAGTGTGCCGTTACTGTGGGGTAAGCTACTTGGTTTTCCATGAGTTTCATCAGCTTCGCACTCAGCTTTCTCAGTTAGAGTCCGAGCTCAAGCAAGTGAAGGAGACTGCCCAGAAGGAGAAGGCCCAGTATGATGCACTGGAACTCAACAGGCTGGAGTGGGAGAAGGAGCTTCAGTTGCAGATGAAGAAAAAAGCTGATGTAAGGGAGAAAATGGTCAGAGAAGAGCTTGAAAAAAGGAACCAGGCCATGACGAAAGCTCTGAAAGAAGAGTTTGAAGCAAAATCTGAGAGAATAAGGAAGGAGATGGAAGAGGGCTGTCAGAAAATCACAGAAGAGAGGGAAATACAACTTAGAAGGGAGCTGGGAGAGTTGGCAGTGGAAGAACTGAGAAAGCAGAGGGAAGAGCTGGGAAAGAGTGCTGAGGAGAGATATAGTGTTTTGGGCACTGACCTTCAGAAGGCCAAAGAAACTTCAGAGGACCTGAGAAAAAACATCCATCAGTTGAAAAACAGGTGAGTTTTGTCTGTACTTTTACCTTTTACCTGTTATGATCAACTATAGCTGGAGGAAAATAATCATCACGTGAGCTTTGGTGTTAAAAACTGAAATCCTAAACTAACCGCTAATCTTTTTTTCTGCTGTTTGTATATTCTACAAAAATCATCTACACTCTAATAAACAAAAAAATGGGAGAAGGAAAGTTTATACGTGTATAAAAAATCTTTTTTGCTGCTGACCACATTAAAATGACTGAAAAACGTTTTTCATTTTTTGCCTAAATAGTAACTATTATTTTCTGTGTCCAATGACACATATATGTAAATGTATTGACAGTCTTTAACCAAACATTCAGTATTATTTGGGAAAAAGAATACAGTAAGCATCTGGTTTCACTTTATCAGTGGATTTTTTTCCCCTATATTTAGTTTTAGGTTGATGAAAACATGCAAAAATAATTCTTTTGAAAAACAAATCAGTTTGCCCCTTTCACAAAATATTTTTAAGCCATGCACGAGATGTCTTCAACATTCGTCAGTATTGCAGTTTAATGTGGTAACTGTAAACGGCACATAGCTGAATGACTAAAGAACCAGGGATGTTCCAGTTCACTTTTATCAAGAACCACTTTTAAGTTCAATTAACACTACAGATTGAGTGTGTAATAGCTGGCACTGAGGGAGTGCACATGCTTTCTTGGCTGTGTACATAATATAAAGCGTTTGTTGCATATATGCAACAAGGGACATCAGGCGGTAAATTAAGTTCATGGTTTAGCAATACAACAGTGATATAAGTTCAAGGACTAATATGACCTGGTTTTCTTTATCTTTTTCCATGTGTGTAAGGAGCAGTTTTAAGTGACTTTGTTATGATTTGACTACATTTGTCTCTGATGTTCCTGCAAACTCTTTACCTGCATTATACTGCTGCATGTAGATGTCCATGGCACAAGGCTAAAGTTTATAGTGATTTGGTTAAAAAAAAAGAAAGATATTTTTGTCAAGTTTAAAATGAGGGTGAGAGAGACATTCACACTCAAATAAAAACATAGCATTCACCAAGCTCTTTCCTTTGACGGTAAATGTTCCAGTGCTTTTCTTTATAATAGAATCAAAATTTTCCTAAAGCTTTTTATTTAACATTTTTATTTGTTTTAGCCCAAACTGCCGTTTAGTAAAGGGGATTCAAAAGTTTGAATGTATCTCCCAAAAAAACGGAATGACTTAAGCACTTAGATGTGTATACCGGTATATTCTTTATGTCTTAGGTAAAGAAGCAGCAAGAAGATAGTCTCAAAGCATTTATTTTCTATTGCAGCTTCAGAAACAGAGGTATGCATCAGATGTCCGACACAGGTTTATTTTGGTGCATTTCAACTCCGCTGAGTTAAAACAGCATTGAAAAGTTAACTCCTCTACAGACTTATACAGTTTTTGCTTTTTTTATTAATTGCTTTTAATTAAAGTGCTTCAGAGAACCAAGAAAACGTTAGTATAAAATAGACTAGTGTAAAAAGAATAGTTTTGAAATGATGTTTGGATTTTATCAAATGGAAAAGATATTTGAACAAGATTACTTTCTAAAACCTAATAATTAGTAGTGCCACTTTCTGAACTTCTCCCACATGGTTCCCCCACAAAATCTGGAACATGATTTTGTTTTGCAAACCAGGCACCGAGTAGTTTTATATAAACCTTGAGTGGTTTAAGATTTCAGGTAGTTTATCATTTGTAAGACAATATGTATGTGTGTGTATATAAATAAATATATATATAGATAGATAGATAGATAGATAGATAGATAGATAGATAGATAGATAGATAGATAGATAGATAGATAGATAGATAGATAGATATATGTATGTGTTTTTTTAAGCTCCTATGAAATGTTGTGTGTATGAAATGCTTTCATATAAAATACTGTGAATATCTTTGTTCCCACCTCCTAAAGTAATGCAAAAATCATAAGTAACCTCCAAACAGATCAGAATCACTGATTAGTGCATTTGTGTTTATGTTTTTTGTGTATTAGAAAGTAGGGATGCACGATATTGGGATTTTGGCCGATATGCGATATGCCGATAACAAGCTGCTCTCAGACTTCCAGGAACTTGACATCTATTAAATAGGACAACTTCCTTTTTGTAAGTTTGAGTTTCCCACAGTAGGTCACATGTACACCCACACATTCACGTTTTCAGATGAGTTTTTATTTTTGTCTTAGGTCTCCTACTTCAGCATATTTCAAGTGTTGTCAATCAAATAGCAGATGTGTGTACACAAACAGCCATCAAAGGCTAAGTTTGTTTACGGGGAAAAGTGTAGGGAATGATTCCACGCCATGACTCACAGAAATGCTAGGAATGGCAGACATTATCTAAACTAGTATAGTATGACATGTTTCTTGAAGCCTAGTCGCACATATTAGGCAGCAACCCCCTGCACCAGCAACATCATACAATATGGATTCTCAAACATAAGACATAAGTGCTCAGTATAATATAAGTTTAGTAATAATCTCTTAACTCTCGAAAACATGAACTTAGACATTTTTCCAATTAACTATGACAAATATACTGTATTTAAAGTCTATGAGTGATGCTTTTGTGGTGTAACAAACTAATGTTTGGAACCTCAGTTAGCTCACCTACTCGCTATTTTACAAAACGCTGTCACAATAACTTTGTAACTTTCGATGGTTTTAACTTATATTAATAAAATAAGACTATTTAAATTTAGCCCTGTTCAGTTCCAGATTTGTTTTCATTATCGGTTTTACTACCACACCAAATAGCATTGAATAACCACTTGGCTCATTATATTTCTTTTTTTGCAGTGACCTTGTAAGCAGGTACCACAGCTGGTGTGCTCCTTTGTCCAGCTGATGTATGTTGCTGTGTGTGTACAGTAAACTGGTGAGCCAGTTCACTCTGGCCTAACATAAGCTGATTATGTCTCCCAAAAATCTTGTCTCCTCTGTGCCCAATAAAAACAAACAGATAAACAAGCACGGTGTGAAAACTGGTGCGCAGGTCCATAAATTCTCTTTTGAGTTACAAGGGTTATAGGCAAGGCAGAGATAATGCTAAATTACACAGAGATGTGTGAGAGTCCCTATAAAGTCATAGCAGAGTTGGGTGACCTAATGTCCTGATTTGTATGGGGTAGTCTCACATTTTTCAGTTGTGTCACAAAGTTAAGCTATTTCAATTCAGTTTATTTATATAGTGCCAATTCATAACGTATGTCATCACAAGGCATTTTACAGAGACAATTTAACCAGATAATACAGTCAGATTGGTTGAGAATTTTCTATCTAAGGAAAACTTTAGATAGAAAACCTTGCATCTAATGATTGACTTGACAGGAAACAAACACACCAAGAATACTTGAAGCAAAAGAGGAGAGGAAAACTCCCTTTTAACAGGAAGAAGCCTCCAGCAGGATCAGGCTCAGTGTGAGTGGCCATCTTCCGAGGCCGTCTGGAATTCAAGGAGATCTAGAAGCAGATATACAGAAAGAAGCAAGGATACAAAAGCTAACTGTTAACCACCTACAAAGGGGGCACAGTCAGGCAAACACACAGGGAGCATAAAGTTTGAGGTTGAACTAACAAATACTACCAAATGGGAAAATGGAGATCCTATGTCCTTCAGCAGTCTAAGCCTATAGCAGCATAACTATAGATATATCTGAGGATTACCTGAGCCACTCTAACTATAAGCTTTATCAAAAAATGATAGCAGTCAGTCTAGCCTCAAAGGTACACAGGGTGTCTTCCTCACAGCCTAAAACTAGTAGTTGGTTTCACAGGAGAGGAGCCTGATAACTAGCAATGTCCCACAATTGACTAGATTAAACTGGAAATTAGAAAAAAGTCCCAAAATATATCTAGAGGCACCTTTCACTAATGGGAAGAAAGCAGAGCTTTAGTCATTGTCACAGGGCAACATTAGTGCCTGACACCATGATCAAGCTGTGCAAAAGGCTGTTAAAAAAGTACAAGTAGGATTTTAAAAACAAAATACAATGGAAACAATGGTTAAAGAAAATAAGATACAGCCTCATCAAAGACTGTGAGGTAGTTTATAGCTGGGTTAGGCCAGTGATTCTCAGAGAGCTTTTTGTTGAGTTTGCTGACAGTATTTTTGAATTTGATAAGAGGTGAACACTATGTACTGTAAAGCAACACTGTAAAAGTGAGTCGGTAAAAGAAACACACAGCTGAACACACAGCCAAGGCTGTCCTGTCCCTTACTGTCCCTGCTAACCATCCTAGTTGTCTGACATTGTTTTTTTCTTTTTATGTTGTTGCTCTGCAACAATTTCATTTCTAATTCATTTTATTTATATGGTGCCAATTCAGAACACATATAATCTTGAGGCTCTTTACAGAGAAATTGGTCAGATTGGTCTAAAGTTTCCCTACGGAAACCCAGCTGATTCTATCGAATCATTGACTTGCAGGACAGGCTCCTCCTGGATTAGCTGGTGCCACAATATTCTCTTGCATTTTGAGGTTGACTCTACAGCAGTCCCTCACACCAACCATGCATGCGGCGACAGTGGAGAGAGAAACTCCCTTTAAACAGGAAGAAACCTCCAGCGAAACCAGGCTCAGTGTAAGCGGCTTTCTGCCCGAAGCCAGTTGGACTGGGGGTTCAAGGAGAAGCAGATATACAAAACAAAGGATGCCACCTATCTATACTAGTCTTTTCAGGTTTATAATTGTTATTTAGGACTTTGCTGTTATGTGACAGCTAATACAACTATAAATCTGATTTGATTTGATTTGAAAGTTATTTTCTTTACTTATGTTTGCCCCATTTAATTTATATTGATATTGTTTCCTGAGAAAGTTGTCATCTTTATTTTGACTGTTTTCAGAAATATTTACTTTTCCATTTCAATATCTGTTTCCTCTTATCTAATCCTCTGGTTTGATCCTATTTAATTCCAGCATGTAAAGAGAAGGAACTTTGACACTGTTAAATGTGCAGCTATTGTTGAAA